TACTTTAGTACTAAAGAGATTTGGATTTTTTAAAAATAATTAATTTATCTTATCCTCTGAAGAAAAAAACAAATTTTATTGAAACATAATTAAAACGTTAATCAAAGGTTAATTTATTTTTTGTAATCAACCTCTGCAATCTCACCGATATTCCATTTTTTTATAGGTCAAGTCGACCTACAGCACGATTGCACAATGCTGTGTGGAGGTGGTGGGGGGGGGGGGGGGCTGCCTTCAACGATACGAGTGTTGACACCGTGTCCCGAATGAAAGACGACGCCACACACATCAGGCTTGGCGGGTCGGGCAAGGTTTTTTATTGCTTGGGGGGAGATACGGCTTGTGTTTGGTCGAGCTGCCCGGCAATTGATCTGGCTAAGAGGTCAAGGGAAAATAAGAAATTTGAACCATTGGTACCGTTTAATTTTTTTTAAAGGTTGTATTTTAAAATAAAAAATGTCTGATAAATTACCTGCACTTTGTGTGTTTCAGGGCATATAATTAAATAGCAAGCTGGATCTGGGAGATGGTAAATTAACATTTAAGGCGACCTGAGTTTATTTCATCGAGAGGCGTTTTGTGTGCTGGTTATGTTAAAGAACGCAGGCATGACGTGTATCCAGAGGCGTAGCGAGGGGGGGGGGGCATATGTCCCCGGGCGCCGACCTTAGGGGGGGGGGGCAAAATGGGTTGGAAATGGGGGGGGGGGGGTGCAAATCAAAAGTTCGACGGGGGGGGGGAGCTGCAAATCGAAAGTTTGTCCCCGGGTGCCGGGAAGGGTCGCTACGCCTCTGCGTGTATCGTACTTGGTGTTGTTAGTTTTGGACCTAATGATAATTTTGGCCATGTATCACACGAACACACACACACACCCGCCCTCAGCTGTAGTTGATTGCATTGTTGCTGACTTGTAATTTTTTTCTAAAAATCTAAACAGGGTGGGGAAGGGGAGGGGGCGTTGTAATAAACACAACACCGCCACATTCACTGATAGCAAACTTAGGTGGACTCTACTTCACCTATGATATAAGATCCTTATGACACGTCTAGATTATGAGACCGTTTAAGCCCTAACATATTTTTTTAAAGGTGTAACTTGAAAGGCGACATTGCGACGAAAAAGTTTATGACAAGTCTATTAAACCACCACGACATGTTTTAATCGAATAAAAAAATCAATATGCGAAAGTACAGCTTGAAGTCGATAGTTCACACAACTATACACAAGATACAGATATTGCTGTAGAGGCGAACAGACGCGTCCATGGTAGAGCGTGGGCTTGTTTGATTACTGTACGTTGTGTGTTTGTTAGATTATCATAATCCTTGTGTTTGTTGGGTGTTTTTAGATTACTGTAAATGTTGTGTTTGTTGGTTGTTTGTTACGTTATCATAATCCTCGTGTTTGTTAGGTGTTTGACAGATTACGGTAAATATTGTGTTTGTTAGGTATTTGTTAGATTACTGTAAATCTTGTGTTTTTAGGTATTTGTTAGATTACTGTAAGTCTTGTTTATCTTAGAAGTTTGACAGTTTACAGGAAGACCATGATGTTTGCTTGATTTAGCTAGATAAAATTAAAAAAAAAAAGCAACCACACAATGTTTTAAAAGAAGGACATCTTCAATCAATAGTTTCACTATTTTCTACCTGATTTTCTATCATTAGCAGTGTAGCATTTATTCATAAACTAGGCATGCTGCCCAGCTTCGCTTAGGCTTTCGAAAACATTGAGAATTTGAATGCTTAATCAATTCGCCCGAGGGTCGGTCTACGACCTCAGGAGTTATGAAGAGGTTCCTACGTGGACATTTTTTTTTTTCGATTTATAGCTCATATAAGGCGCCGGTCAGTCGAGGTCAGTTTTGACCCCCTCATCGTAGACTTTTCGGCAAACCGGCACCCGTGTTCTGTCGCCCCAGTTTTCAGTATCCATTTCCATGTATCACCGGTAGTTGCTATGCTCATTTTGTTTATGTGTATGTTGTGAAACCTGTTTGTATGAACACACCAGGTAGGTGGGTATGTAAAGGGTGTATTCAACCATATCTGGGCTGGGATGGGTCGGGGGCTTCCCCAGTAACTAACGTCAACCATGTTTTTTGTCTAGATCTAGACGAACAAGGAAGTGAACGGGGCTATGTTGATCTTTATCTAGCACTAGATCATTAACAAAAAAATGTTGTTATGTTGTCGTTGGAATTTGAGTTATGGGTTGGTATGTGGGTTTTTGGATTTAACTAGGGTTAGTGTTAAGATTTGAATTGTTGTTGGATTGCGTTGTAGAATGTATCCTAAGCCTACGTGAAAAGCTACAATGGCTAAACACGTTGGTGTTGAAATTAAGCAAAGGGGGGGGGGGGGGGGGGGGGAGAGAGGGGGGGTGACCGTGCCAACAACCCATACATTCGTGGCCATCAAACACTACGGCCTTGGCCACCATAGCAGTGGCCATAAGAAATTACAGCAGTAAAATAATTTTTTAAATATTCAAATACATTTTAAAGCAAAGAAACGCTAATTTACGGCTTACAGTTGTTTTTTCTAGAAGAAAGCTTCTACACCCCCCCCCCCCTTTCTCGATCCTACACCTACCCCTATAAATGATCGTTTGACCTTAAAACAACTGTCAGGTCCTGCAATTCTCCCCGATATCCAGCTCAGGTCATTCAACTAAGGTGACCAGCGATACAGGTCAATGCCGCGTGCAGTTCTGAGAATCATTTCATTCGTTATCCACACTATATGCACATTTGTTTTTTAATTTTTATTTTAAAACATGGTCTAAAGTTGCATATCTGATATATGTATTCGACTATAATGATTAAAATATATATGCAAATATCAGAACAATCATAGTTGCAGCTGCAGCCAAACCGAGCAAACAAAAAATTGCAACCGGCAAAATTTCTAGGTCACCGCTTACCTTGAACTCTGGAGGTGTGTCTCGAATGCGGCCCGCTGATTGGTCGAGGCGGCTGCACACCCCCAGCGAAAATCAGCTGTTGCGGTAAACAAAATGTTTATGGCCTGAAAAAAAGTCGCGCGCAGACCTTGGCGAGTTGGGCCAACGAAAAATGTTCTTTGTTTGTCTTACATGATTTAGTAACAGTCTCGAATCATGTTACATTATGTAATGGCGGTGTGCAGCAATAAATGATAAGGATTGTTAGAGTAAGAAAAATCATAAATATTCGGGGCATAAATTGTAACATGGAGTGGTTGGCGGAGAACAAACGTACAAAACACAATTTATCAACAGCAACTTGTCGTGCAAGAAATGACAATCTTGAGATTTGTGGTGTATTATAATTTAGTTCTAACATTACAACACCCAAAAAAACAAATAAATACTTCGTACATCTACTTTGGATGGCTGTATTATTATATTATTCTGCATTATGTCACATCGATTTTTTTTTGGATTGAAAGTGTGTGTGTGGTGGGGGGGGGGGGGGGGGGTGGGGTGGTGTTGATTTATGACTTCATTTACTTAGTGATGATACAGTGGGTTTTGACGCGTGGGCTGGGTGATAATTTAAAAAAAAAACGTTATGCATACTCTGCTTACTTCTGTAATAAGTAGGCTATACTGATTTACAAAACATGTCTTACAATTCTAGTTATAATTAGTGTTATGGGGTTTAGTGCTTGGTGTATTGTTATTGTAACGACGGATCGGCCATTTTCTGGTCTGTCTGTTGTTAGACAACACCGTACAGAAGCAGAGGGAGGGGTTGTGGTTTGCAATATGGCGGCTGTTGTTAACGAAATCAATGTGTTATGGTATATGCCGAGTGGGGGAGGGGGGGGGGGGAAGGGAGGTTGGTTTGTCACTTATCAACAGGTGAAGGTAAAAAATTCCATAACGCTTAATTTTGTTATATGTAAGTGGGACTAATGTTTAATATTCTTTATTGTGCTACATCCCCTGAAATTATAACCTGATTATTTTATTCCTGTGTGTGCATGAATGTACGTAGAAGCTAAAATAGTTCAACTAGCATAATGACATTTAATTAACAATATAATTGATGGTACACTGGTAATATGGGGGATCTTTTTAAAATGGTTCCCACTTTCTCTACACACCTAGTCCCTCCCAACACGCACAGTCTCTCTTACACACAATTATACACAAAATCACACAGTCATACACAGTCACACTCAGTCACATATACACAGGCATATGCTGTCACACACACACACAGTCACACACACAGTAGCACACACATACAGCCACACACAGAATCACACACAGTCAACAGCACGTGTAGCCACACATATTCATACATACATTCAACTACACACATAGCTACACATAGCTGCTATTAGTCACACTAATACAGTCAACTAATCACATTCACACACAGTTACACACAGTCACACACACACGTCACACACTTGACAGCAGTCTTAAGCTTGTACCGCCGCGACCTTTAAAAATAAGGCAATCGAATTGAGGGCTGAGTTGTCGTTCTTGGTCGCCCGGAGTTACCGTTATTGTTTCGTCCTGCTCTATATTTTCAGTCCTCACTGTAGTAATACGCATATAGAGTTGGCTATATAATCAAATTATTGATGGAATGTTCAGAGTACCACCACGCCATCGCCAGTGTAGATTGTGTTGTAGAGGAGATCTCATCAATTTGTGCACTAATGTAAAACCTGATGTCTCTGGGTTCGTTTACCTCTCCAACATGTATTATTCATCTTATGCTTGTCTTGCAGAAGTCTCTATAAGTCTGACCTCGTTAGTGTGTGTTAATGAGCTGAGATAGATTCGATTGGAGGGGGGGGGGGGCTTGTTGCTTCTAAGAGGAAGTTTTATTATGCCTATATCAATGTCTTCGTTACTTCTAAGATTACGTTTATACATTAAATGAATTAAGACGGATCTTGTTCTCTACCCTTGTCTTGATGTAGAATGTTAGTAGAAACAATGCATTTTTATCATTTTAAAAATCGCACAGGGGACTGCTCTACAGCTTCAGCAAATAATGAGACATGCTCTACAGCTTCAGCAAATAATGAGACCTGCTCTACAGCTTCAGCAAATAATGAGACCTGCTCTACAGCTTGCTATACAGCTTCATCAAATAATGAGACCTGCTCTACAGCTTGCTGTACAGCTTCAGCAAATAATGATACCTGCTATACAGCTTCAGCAAATGATGAGACCTGCTCTACAGCTTCAGCAAATAATAAGACCTGCTCTACAGCTTCAGCAAATAATGAGACCTGCTATACAGCTTCAGCAAATAATGAGACCTGCTATACAGCTTCAGCAAATAATGAGACCTGCTCTACAGCTTCAGCAAATAATGAGACCTGCTCTACAGCTTCAGCAAATAATGAGACCTGCTCTACAGCTTGCTATACAGCTTCATCAAATAATGAGACCTGCTCTACAGCTTGCTGTACAGCTTCAGCAAATAATGAGACCTGCTATACAGCTTCAGCAAATAATGAGACCTGCTCTACAGCTTCAGCAAATAATGAGACCTGCTCTACAGCTTCAGCAAATAATGAGACCTGCTCTACAGCTTGCTATACAGCTTCATCAAATAATGAGACCTGCTCTACAGCTTGCTGTACAGCTTCAGCAAATAATGAGACCTGCTATACAGCTTCAGCAAATAATGAGACCTGCTCTACAGCTTCAGCAAATAATGAGACCTGCTCTACAGCTTCAGCAAATAATGAGACCTGCTCTACAGCTTGCTATACAGCTTCATCAAATAATGAGACCTGCTCTACAGCTTGCTGTACAGCTTCAGCAAATAATGAGACCTGCTATACAGCTTCAGCAAATAATGAGACCTGCTCTACAGCTTCAGCAAATAATGAGACCTGCTCTACAGCTTCAGCAAATAATGAGACCTGCTCTACAGCTTCAGCAAATAATAAGACCTGCTCTACAGCTTCAGCAAATAATGAGACCTGCTCTACAGCTTCAGCAAATAATAAGACCTGCTCTACAGCTTCAGCAAATAATGAGACCTGCTCTACAGCTTCAGCAAATAATAAGACCTGCTCTACAGCTTCAGCAAATAATGAGACCTGCTCTACAGCTTCAGCAAATAATAAGACCTGCTCTACAGCTTCAGCAAATAATGAGACCTGCTATACAGCTTCAGCAAATAATGAGACCTGCTCTACAGCTTCAGCAAATAATGAGACCTGCTCTACAGCTTGCTATACAGCTTCATCAAATAATGAGACCTGCTCTACAGCTTGCTGTACAGCTTCAGCAAATAATGAGACCTGCTATACAGCTTCAGCAAATAATGAGACCTGCTCTACAGCTTCAGCAAATAATGAGACCTGCTCTACAGCTTCAGCAAATAATGAGACCTGCTCTACAGCTTGCTATACAGCTTCATCAAATAATGAGACCTGCTCTACAGCTTGCTGTACAGCTTCAGCAAATAATGAGACCTGCTATACAGCTTCAGCAAATAATGAGACCTGCTCTACAGCTTCAGCAAATAATGAGACCTGCTCTACAGCTTCAGCAAATAATGAGACCTGCTCTACAGCTTCAGCAAATAATAAGACCTGCTCTACAGCTTCAGCAAATAATGAGACCTGCTCTACAGCTTCAGCAAATAATAAGACCTGCTCTACAGCTTCAGCAAATAATGAGACCTGCTCTACAGCTTCAGCAAATAATAAGACCTGCTCTACAGCTTCAGCAAATAATGAGACCTGCTCTACAGCTTCAGCAAATAATAAGACCTGCTCTACAGCTTCAGCAAATAATGAGACCTGCTATACAGCTTCAGCAAATAATGAGACCTGCTCTACAGCTTCAGCAAATAATGAGACCTGCTATACAGCTTCAGCAAATAATGAGACCTGTTATACAGCTTCAGCAAATAATGAGACCTGCACTACAGCTTGCTGTACAGTTTCAGCAAATAATGAGACCTGCTCTACAGTTTCAGCAAATAATGAGACCTGCTCTACAGCTTCAGCCGATAATGAGACCTGCCCTACAGCTCAACATAAAGACCTGCCCCACATATCCAATACCAACCACTGCTCCACCCCATAACACCCCACCCTGATACAGTTTGCAGCTAATAGATCTACACCCTGTAATGATTTTAGCGTGACATTTTATCTCCTATTTACCTGCCACCACTGCATTTATACCGAGCAAGCGGGAAACCAATCAATGTTTTTTATTACTGAGGATTTAGTTTGAAAACATGCATTATGTGATGATGTGATCGGATGGGTTGATTTGGGGAGGGGGGGGGGGGGGGGGGGGGTAGTACAATCGTTTAAACAACACGTGACCTTGCCGTTTCCAACCTCTTCCCGTGAGCAGCCTAGTGAAATTAATTTGGCCTAGGACGTGCCTTGGTGAGCAGCCTAGTGAAATTAATTTGGTCCAGGACCAGCTTTAGAATTTATTTGAGGAGCTGTTTGCGTGTTTGTTTGGCTCTTTATATATATATATATATATATATATATATATATATATATATATATATATATATATATATATATATATATATATATATATAATTTTTTTTTAATGCGAATCGATGGAGATCTGAGAGAGATAGGGGGGAGCGAAGATAGATATATCAAATTTTGATACAAAAATTAAGGAAATTCATAAGGGATGAGCAGTAATAAAGTTAATTAAGCTTCTGGGGTACATGGTGCACCAGGGTAGCTTGCGGGTACATCCCCTCCCCAGTGAATACTTCTGTGAAATAGTCTAACCAAATGCTGGGGTCAGTGGCGTAGCCAGAATCGTCTCAAGGGTGGGGTTCCAATTTTTACCCGGGGACAAGCTTTCGATTTGCACCCCCCCTCAGACTTTTTATTTGCACCCCCCTCATACTTTATATATATACCGAGGGGTCTATGGGGATGGGGTTCTGACCCCCCTACCCTCCCCCCCCCCCCCCTGCCTACGCCACTGGCTGGGGTCTATATTCTGCAGTTTTTACAACAACAAAATAATAAATAAATAAAAACACTCGACCAATTCTAAGTATCCTTTACCCATGGGTAAAAATAACATGTGCCGACAAAGCAAAGCATTCTTCTCTACATAATTAGCACATGTACTTTAGCGGCCGTGCAGAAACCTGTATGACACGGGGACACGCCTATCTGTGTCTTTCTTCACATGCTCGTGGTATGATTCTAACCTTGGTTTCACCCCCACTACCCCGCCCTTTTCTTATACAAACGTAATAACCCGCCTGCCGGACTAGCTAAAACCGGTGAGAAGTAGGTCGAGGGAACCTCCAAGAAGTGGTTACCGAACCCATTTACGCATCGCTACTGCTGCGCTCATGCACGACAGGGGTGAAAACAAAAAGTAGTCCGTCGTCGTCTTTAAATTTCCGAAGGTTAACGCCCTTCAACTTGGGAGTGAAAACGTAAAAAATAACCTGCGATCGTTTAATGTTTGCCTGCCTCGTATTTCTTTGTTTCCATAGATGATTTTAACCTAACTTTATACGAAACCTTGAATATTGAAATCAGGGCGGCAATATTTGTAATTGGTATCAATTTATAGATGGGAGATAACGTTTACTTGTTTCTGTGTTTGTAGGTCGTGGTTTACAGATGGCCATGTGTGAAGAAAGACACCATTTATGTAATTAGGTTCACAGACCCACCTCAACCAAAAAAATCAAAAGTATTGATTCTAAAAAAAAATAGATCTCAAACGTAATCAATGTATGATGTGGAACGATGCTATGTTGACACGGACAGTCTTCAACGAACTAATGCAAGCACGAGAGCGACAATGTATTATTTTTACTATTTTGTATGTCCATATTATTGAATTATTTAAAACTGTAGAAGGTTATCTATAGACTCTACATTATCACAGCGACTGAAACGTTTTTTTTCTCTTTAAGAACTGAACGGCCAGCACTAAACGGTTTATCCGTTCTATTATCAGTTACAGTTTACCGTAAAAAACCATACATTAATACAAAAAATAGTTATATACTTTCATTATCTCAAATTTCACTCCTTTTTTTTCAGTTTTACCAGCCCTGTCAGTTTTCCATCAATTATTTATAGCATCAGCTTGATTTCATCGACATGCAACAACCTAAGACAGGGGTCGGCAACCTGCGGCTCGCGAGCCGCATGCGGCTCTTTGGATGTCGAGGTGCGGCTCTTGAGCTCCATGATCAAATATTAATAATTATTTTATTAACTCATAAAAATATTAGTCTGCTACACTCGGTACTGAACGATATAATAATAAATATAGACAATAAAAACTCACTATTCTATTAGAATATTTAGTTACATTTTTCAATGTATTTCCTTGTTTTCTGAAACTGAGTTATTTAATTGTAAACAATGCCTGGGCTTGGATCATATTTATAGGGGCACAACCTACACTACAACCCAGCTCGCCATGGGGTGTGCTGTATGAAAGCCTTAAGTGTAAGTTAATCACTCGCCGTGATATCACCGTTAATCACTCAACGCCTAAGTGTCGGGGACGGAAAGTAGCGCTCTTGTGAACCCGATTACAAAATCGCAGGGGCGCCACGTACAGCCCCTAGCACGGTTTAATCGTCGTGTGCCGCAGTAACAATATTGAAGGGAGCTCCTTAAAACTAACGAAGGCGTGTAGTGCTCGAGGGATAGCGCCAAATCGCACCCTGCAAAGAAGCCGGAGGACGCGCCTGATTCGATTTAGTGAGCGACTATAGCAACCCATTGTATCGAAAATGAACGTAGGCGCCATGGTGCTCACGTGTAAGCCCGGAGCTCTAAATACGCCGGAGGGCGCGCCTGATTCGATTACGTCAACGATAACTGTTGCCCATCGTGTCTTTAGTGTTTAGCCTTTTTTAAAACGAACGTAGGCGCAATAGCGCTCTCAGGCTCTTTTGGGTCGCGCAACCGACGAAGTACAGTTTTGCTAATGAATATAGTAGTACCCCTTACCCGCTCTATAGGACGCCAGATTAAAGGGTGCCAAGTGCTAAATACCCACGCTAGAACTCTGGGCGCCAAACCATATATTGATGAAAATTGCACACTCCCGGGCGCTGCCCATAAGAATTTTTTTTTTCGCAGAAATCTTCTAGGGAGTATTCTCATTTATTCTCAAAGGATCCATGACGATCGGATGAACGGTGTCAATCCGCAATCATTTTTTTTTGCAGATACCTCCCCAGGAGTATTCTCAACAACTTTTCAAAGTTTCATGGCGATCGGATATATATATATATATATATATATATATATATATATATATATATATATATATATATATATATATATATATATATATATATATATATATATATATATATATATATATATATATATATATATACCTAATACTAATCAAAGATCATAATATTGAAGTTAAAATGTTAGTGGCTCTTTCAAAGGTGGGAGATCTTGTAAATTGTTACTTTTGGCTCTTCCGTCTCAAAAGGTTGCCGACCCCTGACCTAAGACATCGACATTCTGACAGCAGACTACAAAAAAAAAACAACCCAAAAAAACAACTTTCAGAAGGCCGAAAAAGGAGTATTATTATTGATGATGAAGTACATTCAATAGTCAGTCAAATTTGTGTTAAATTTAACTATTGTTTTTTATTTAATTTAATTTTTTATTTAAATAATTTTTGAAGATACTAATAATAAAATTATACAACATTCAGATAAGGTTTGAAATATGTATGCTTTACAAAACGAGATACAATGATTGGCAATATTATTTTAAAAGTTCACAATATCTCTATATTTTACCAACGTTTAAATACATATCCGAGGATCGTTTCCCTTTATATTAAATGATTGTATAAATTATTTTTTAAAAACTTTCTTTTAATTATTGAAATCGCTGTAATTCTTATACTAATCACTTTAATTTGACAAGTTATACTTTACATACAGGTTATACATTTATCTTTGTACTTCTGCGTTACAATAGGTTACAATAAATAGCATGTAAATATGTTTACCATGGGCTAGTGTTTTAAAAAAAACAACATAAAATGCTTTAGGAACACTTTTCATTTGTTTGTATATAGACATAGTTTTTTAACAAAACACTTTAGTTTGATATAAATTGGTTCTATCACATCTTCAACCAACGGAGAATCACTGAGAATCAACGGAGAAACAACTGCTGTAGCCTTGACTGTTTTAATAAGAAAAATTATGATACATGAAGTTAGTGATACACCATGTCGGCACTACTGTCCTTGCCGTCGTGCCTCTTGTTCTTGATGTCATGCCTTATGTAAACTTATGTTCTTGCCTTGCCGTCATGCCTCACGTTCTTGTCGTCATGCTTCACGTTCTTGCCGTCATACCTCGTGTGTTCTTGCCGTCATGCCTCACGTTCTTACCGTCATACCTCGTGTGTTCTTGCCGTCATGCTTCACGTTCTTGCCGTCATGCCTCACGTTCTTGCCGTCATGCCTCACGTTCTTGCCGTCATACCTCACGTTCTTGCCGTCATGTCTCACGTTCTTACCGTCATGCCTCACGTTCTTGCCGTCATGTCTCACGTTCTTGCCGTCATGTCTCACGTTCTTACCGTCATGCCTCACGTTCTTGCCGTCATGCCTCACGTTCTTGCCGTCATACCTCGTGTGTTCTTGCCGTCTTGCTTCACATTATTGCCGTCATGCCTCACGTTCTTGCCGTCATACCTCGTGTGTTCTTGCCGTCTTGCTTCACATTATTGCCGTCATGCCTCACGTTCTTGCCGTCATACCTCGTGTGTTCTTTCCGTCTTGCTTCACATTATTGCCGTCATGCCTTACGTTCTTATCATGCAGATTTTGTACACATTAAAACATACAACAACGACTGAAGAACTTTAATTATTGTCACGTGACGCTGTCTTGCGTGGCAGAGATGGGTCAGGCTTAGGGGGGGGGGGGGAGGGTTGTCTGGTATTTGGGTTAAATCAAATTAATTAGCTCCTGAAGTACAAAACAATTAAATCTTTGTTCGTAATTAAATAAAAACATTGGACCATCACGTTACTGGCAATATTCTTTATTGATTTTTTTTCTCTAAAGTGTTGTACAAACTGG